GCTCCATGCCTGCCTCCGGTCCTGTCCACTCCTCTCCAGGCCCTCCTGGGCTGCAGAAGCCGACCCCACCTCCGACCTCACAAAGAGAGACCCCGTGGGAACGCGGTTCCCATAGAGCTGCCACACCCACACCGTCTCTCCCGCGTCTCTTCTCCTGGAGAACAGTCTCCACTGGCTCCATCCCACCACCTGAGCGCACAGTCCTGCTTGCTCAGAGCTGCCCCGTGCCTTCAGCCACAGGGCTTGGAGGCGTCACCTACACTCCACACCCCCACCTCCGTCTCTTACCTTCCACTCACTCCAAAATCTACCCGGCTGAGGCCCCCTGCCCCCCGCCCGCCTCTGGACAAGAAGCCGCTGTTCCCTCCTTATCATCCTGCCTGCAGGCTCAGCAGCAAATGCTACCAGCGCTCACCCTCCTCCAGAGGCCCTGGACTCCTGGGGCCTCACTGTGCCCAGATTTCCTCCAACCTGGCTTGCCCACAGGTTCTTCCTTCACGCTGGTGTCTCCCAGCATTTGGTCCTCGGCCTCTGGCCCTTCTCCGCAGGTAGGTTCTCAGGGCTCCAGTGACCGTTCACAGAGTGGTGGCTTTAAACCCATATTGTGTGCCTAGATATCCCGCCTCAACACCAAATCTCGACGCTGCTCTAAACTGGACACATCCTCCTGGACGTCCGAACGTGTCCCACATCAAACCCAGCTTCCCGTGCCCTGGCCTCCCCAGACCAGCCCCTTCCCCACTGCTGTCTTCTCAGTGGACCCGCGACACTGCTGAAGCCGGACCATCCCCACCTGAGGTACCCAGACCCACGGTAAACGTCTGGACTCTCCCCGCCCGTCTCTTCAGCCCCATGCCCACCACCCTCACGGCTCAACATCAAGACCTCAGCGACGTCCTAGTCTGTGGTTCTCACCCCTGACTCTGCAATGGAATCACGTGGGAACCTTGAAAAATATTCTGGGTCTCATGCCACTGGCCTGGCACGTGGACCTGGGCCGTGGGTCAGCTTGAACTTCTGGCCGAGGTGTGAGGGGCTGCAGGCGAGGATCCGACTTGCAACACCTCCACTCCTGACCCTCCCCCCTCACGGCTTCCCTCTTCCTTCATGCCAGAGCAGTCGGTCCCACTCTCCCCACCTCTACAGACCCAAATGGCTCCCAGACCTAATTCATCTCTTTAGCTAATGGATTTCCTAGATGCTTAACTTGACACCAGTTTATAGTAACTTCCTGGCACGGAGCTTTCACAACGCCAGGCATATACCAGAACACAACACAGAATCACTAATACCCTCATTTATATCTTTCTAGAAATATATTTAAAGCCATTTCACCTGATCAGTAGCATTTTAAAAGCAGGATGTATAATGAAGGAAGAAGAAACCAGGTCTAGTTCTTTACGCACAGCTCTGTCACAGATTTTACTCAGAGAAACTCCACTGGCAACGAAAAGAGACTCAAAGACTCCCAAATATAGTCCCATACTAACACAAGAAGCACCATCAGCCTGGATTTTTAAAAAAGAAAAGAAAAAGGAAACCCAACACCCACCCCAACCAAGAGATGAGAATGAACAGGCCCACATCGAGTACGGAATGGGGCTCAGACACGGCCTGGGGCTGGGGACACGCCCCCCGGTCACGGATGTCCCGCAGGACTCAGGCCGAGTGGACTTACGTGTCCGAGTCTTCGGAGCTGGAGTCTTCGTGGCTCTGTTCGGCCTTCCACCTCTTGTACCTGTCGATGAGCTCAGTCAAGTAGGATGTTTTCTTTGCGTTGCGGATTATGAACTTGTGCTTCAGTAACTCCTTAGCGGCGGGTCTCTGGAAAACCAACCAAACAAAGCAAAGCGAAAAAGCATGAGGTCAAGCTCTCTACATTCTACTCGACTCCACCCCAAAGGACAGACTTCTGCCTCAAAACGCCCAGCAACCAAGCTGATACATAAAGACAGAGCCCTACTTCAAGCTGTTTCCTTTAAGGCTGAGTCAAAGAATGTCATTTGGCTCCTGTGGGTGGGATCCCGTTCACAGTGCGGACAAGGTATCTGGTATCTAATGGGGTCCTTAACATTCTGGAGGCAACCATCCGATGAAAGCAGGAACCCCCTCCCCAGAAAAATGCATTTACAAAGAAAATGTTGCAGAGCATTTCACAGATCATCATTCAATCCTCATTGCTAATGCTGGCAAGAGAGAAAACATGTTCTGTATCACCTTGTTAACTTTCTATCTCACTGTTTGGCTCTATCCTCCCAAACAATAGATAAATGTTAATTTAAATCCAACTGGAAGAAAGCCAGGAGATACCCGTTCCTTGGACGCTGAAAGGGTACCCACGTTCTCTTAGGCATCAGCCTTCCCAATTCAGAAATGCTGGTTTCCCAGGCCTGCCTTTTTCCTTGTGATCGGGGTGAGGACTTCATCCAGGCTCTGGGCTCAGCATAGCCAGTGAACTCGGCCACTCGCTTTGCCCTTGAGAGTGGCAAACCCAACTATAGGGAGTACGCTTCCCAAGAAAACCACGCAGCCCAAATAGGAGCGGCCGGCGGGAACACAAAAATCACGCGAGTCAGACCGTGTCCCCACTTGCTGTGAATTACTAAAACCTCCTAAACAAGAGCCAGGCACGCTTCTCAAACTCAAGCCTGCGAAAAACCTGGGTCACTTCAGGCATTTCTCAGTTCCCGTCCATGTGAGTGTCTAATTCCAAGCATCTCATACTCTCCTCAGGGCGTCTGGGCTAGAGGTTGGGGTGGAGATGTGTGCACTGGGCCAGCAAGCCGACACCACAAACACGCTTGTAATGGGAAGATGTGCAGCCACGTGGGTGTGTCTTCTTGGGGCTCGGAACAAACTCCTGATAACAACGTCCCGAGCCCCACGGACACGAAGAACAGCATCCCGCCCGGCACCCAATGAGTGGTGTACTCTGCATCCCCTGGAGGTTCTTAGAAAACGTTGCATTCCTCATTGAATTCCATGACCAAAACTGGTATCATATTAGAAAAGCATGGTGCTCTCGTAAAACTAACCACATATTTTTAGATAAGGGAAAGGCGGAGGGTGGAGGTTGGTTCAGAAGTTTCAGCCTGACCTTCGGCTAACCCTGCTGGAAAACTCAGAAACAAAACAAGGATGTGTGGTGCTCCATGCAACCCCAGATATACAGACAACTTTTTTTAAGAAGTCCTAATTCAGAGAGAAAACTAGGCTAAAGCCATGTTGCCATCACTGCCACATGGCTCTCCCACTCAACTCAACAGCAGAGACAGTAAGAAGGAAGAGGAGAAAGCAAGGTGGGGGTACATTTCTATCTCATTCCTCTTTTCCTTCCTGACACATGCCCAGAAGAAACTCAAAACATTTACTGTAAATACCTATTTAGCCATTGTTTTTCAGGCCAGACTTTGCGGTTACCAAAACGGCTAAATAGCCTGACCCTCCACTATAAATATTAAACATGTATGATTCCACATATAATATTAAGGAGAACAGTCTTCAAGCTCAATGAGGTATGAGATACTAGAAAATCTGAAAGAAAATAAGTAGATTTTTCATCCTTACAAGATAAAATAACAATAAAAAACAAATTTGCAATTCAAAGCAATTAATCACACCCATTTAGAAAAAGAAAAATAAATGAAATCACGAAGGCAGCTGATAATAGTGATTAAAGAAATGCCAAGTAAGATGTATCCAGACCAATGAGGCCCCAGAGGAGGAGACGCCCGTTCTGATCTCAAAATACTCACGAAGCTCGGCTCCTTATTCAAACAGGCCTCCACAAACTCCTTTAGGGGTTTGCTGTAGTTTCCTTCCAGCGTCGGGGGGTTGTTCTTTGGAATGAGGAATAAAACCTTCATGGGATGCAGCTCGGAATGCGGAGGCTCCCCCTTGGCAAGCTCGATTGCCGTTATGCCCAGGGACCAGATGTCTGCCTGCAACAGCAAAGCATTCAAAGAGACGAACTTCAGAGGAAAAGCATCTCAACGTGCTTCTAAGGTTTTGAAAAGGATACCCATTCTTGACTCAAAATAAGAAAAGATAAGCCTTTGGTATCGTTTCAAAATAGGCAACACCCAGGAGAAATGCTAACACACAGAACATCTTCTGCCTCGACACGGAAGACGGCTCCTAACGATTTCCCCTCTTGCCTTTGCTGCTGGGGGTGGGAGGCATCCCACGCTCATTTAGGTCCCTGAGTCAAGGGAACAGGGAACCCGAGGTGAGCGGGGAGGGCGTGTCCGGGGGCCAAAGCATGTTTGCGAACCACCCTGTCCAGCGATGCTCAGAAGCTGGGCCTCAGACGGGGTTCAACGCCAGCTCTCCAGCTGGTCCTGCGACCTGAGACAGAACACCCAACCTGTGGGGCCCAGCTCCCTCCTCCGTAAACTGGGACGAACGCTAGGGTGGTCGTGCAAGATGCTTCACGTGGCACCCAGGACTCAGAGAGGATGCCCATACCCCCACAGAGAACATCAACCTGAGACATCCGCACATGCCCAGCACAGGGTTTAAGAGTGAACAATCCACCACACAGGCTGTTTTAGCGCCATTACAGCTCAAAGTAAATCACAGGTGTCACGACTTTTTCCCCCGAGTACTTCAGTTTGCCAACGTAGGGGCTTTCAGCAACACCTAAAATTAACAATAATTAGCCAATATCATGTACTAATTAAATTTTCTCAACTGTTCAAAACAAGTCTTCTCATGGTCTGGTCTATCTGAATCAGGATCCAAGCAAGGCCCATATGTTGCTCTGACTGGTAGGTCAGCTGAGACTCTTCTAATCTAGAACTGCCCACTCCCAGTCTCCCCAGTGCCACTGACCTAAGGGAGAAAGAGGCCCCAAATTCCAGATTCCTCTGGCTCCTTCCTGCTGCCATGCGTGCGTTCTTCCAGTTCCTCACTTCCAGTTGAGTGACAGGTCAGTTACATCTAGAGCCTTGGTCATGTTCGTTGTCGGCAAGAATCAGGCGCCGAGCGGGGCAGCCGCTGTCCAGCTGCCCAACCCTCCTGCCCAGCCCAGGCTGTGGCCACACCTGCTCAGTGCAGAGATGAATGGGTTCCCTGACCATGTGCTGGGAATGAGAAGCGCTCTGGTTGGCAGGCTTTCTCACAAGCCGAAACCAAGCTACAGCAAAGAAGACAGAAGCTGAAAATGAAGCGGGACCCCACAGGCAGGCAAAGAACGGGGCGAGGGGCACGGCCTCCTGCACTCGGCCTACACGACCTCCCTGCCCCCGTCACAGCACCGCAAACCCATCCTACTTCCAGGCAATTACATCAGAACCTAACACATGCCTCACTCCCAACTCCACGGCAGGGAAACAGAAAGGCTGGAACGCTGAGCAGGTCACCCTAGGACCCAGACGTTCCCAACCTTTAACAACCTAGAGAGGACTCACCTGCCACGTTCCCACAATCCTAGGACGTACGAGAAGTCCTAGCAACAATCTCCCCTGGGCAGCGGTGGGTGGGGACGATGCCCACCACACCTCCTATTCCTTCTGTTCCAGTGAAGGTGGGAATAACAGACAGCAAGCCTTGTTGTAAACTCTTTGCACTCACTTTGTACTAAAGGGATGAATCTGGAAGATCCAGTATCGGGAGTAATGTTCCTACCTTCCTTTCCTCTGCTTTCTTTTACACGTGCACTACTTTAAAAATCAGCAGAAGTGTGATGTGTTCCAGGGTCCGACCCCCAGGAGGAGGAAGCTGGGTGTAGTGAGTGAGCATCTGTAACCATGGCGGCCACAGGAGGACAGAAGCAAGGGCACAGGTACAAGGAGAAAGGGCGAGTTGCAAGGACAGAGGCAAAAATGACGAGTACAGGACTCCTACACGGTAGCGGTTCCTTTCTCAAGTCTGTGCAACTCCACAGCTGCCTGCCTCTCTTGGATTTCATTCAACTGCTATTGTTTGCTAAGCCTGCCACTCGACAACAATCTGGCTTATGGCCACGTAGATAGAGATGATCCCTGCTGGATGCACCTCCAGACCCCCCAGCATCCCGTAATCACTTAAATACACTCTGTTTCTGGAAAGCCCAGCCAATGACGGTGTCTGCTAGCAGCCTATCACGGGAAATGAGCCTGTGCTCGTTTCCTTCAGAGACCTGAGGGCTGGCTATCAGGCTCCGGGCAGGACAACTGACAGGCAGCAAGAATTCAAGGGCCTGCACCTGCTTCCTGTCTGACAATACAGACCAACTGAAGTCGACTGATGTAACAGCCTTCCCAGCCCCACCCATAACGCGCCTCCGAGGTCTTCAGAGAAGAGGCACAGGCACTGCTCTCACTTTCTTCCCCTGGGAGGGTCACCAGTAGAGCCACATCAAGACAAAACATGTGTCACTCCCCCAGGCAGCCAGGCCAGGAGCCCGAGCCTCGGCCCGGCCCGCCCCCTGAACTTCTCTTTGGATCCTCCTAAATCAACCAGGTGCCAGGTGTGCCACTCTTGACCTCTCGGTGCCCTGGGTCCCCTTCCTGCCCCTGGCTTAGTGCAGAGCTGTCCTCTGTCCCTGGGACTCCTGTGGGGGGCTCCCGAGAGGTCTTCCTGACTGCAGCCTCCCTCTGTAGACATCTAACATCCTGCTGACTAATTTGGAAACCTTGACTGGCACTTGAATAAATGGCAAGCGATTCGGCATTATGCAGCAAAAACCATAAAAATATCCACACTCGTTGAAACCAATTAATTCCACTTCTAGGAATCTACCCTAAATAAATTTTATATTTAGAAAATGGTAAAGGCTGCCCAAAATATTCAATAGCAGCATTACTTATGCTAAACCTTAGAAGAATGATTACATTGCTATGGCACATTAACTTACTAAAGTACCAAGTACTCAACAACGATGTTGATACACAAACTCAATTGTACTTACGATTCTCTATCACTGTATCTACGAAATATGGCATCAGATTTAGAACATGTGTCTGGATTTTAAAATAAAAGGTATGTGGGAAAGGTCAGTCATTTTCCAAAGCAATTAAAATTGAGGTGTAAGAAGAGAGCTGTTTTACCACCATGTGGGAAAGATAGGAAATTTAGCTACTAAGAGAAAACAAACAGAGGTTTTCAGTAATGAGCCTAAGTCCAAAGTTACAAAGGCAGGTGCTCTGAACTGCAGATATTTTTCTTTGTGAACAGATTTTTTTTTCTCCGTATGTGGTTAGTTCTGTATAGAATTCCCCTAAAAGTGACAACACAGAATCATCTGCTACCGATGAGCAAGAGGGGTGAGGGGATGCGAGTGGGGTGCTACCAGTATACAACAACTCTCCAAATCCTTGCAATACCAAGTTAAGTAAAAGTACGCTGGCTACATCTCTGCAGTCAAAATACAATTTAAGTGGCATAAAAAATTCATGTATACCAAATATCGTATAAAGAACCACAAGAGGGGGACTTCCCTGGCGGTCCAGTGGTTAAGAATCTGCGCTTCCACTGCAGGGAGCATGGGTTCAATCCCTGGTCGGGGAACTAAGATCCTGCATGCTGCGCAGCGTGGCCAAAAAAAAAAAAAAAAAAAAAAAAAAAAACAAAAAAGGGAAGAGGGAAAAAACCATGGAGAACCCCAACTAACAGTTATAACTAGTCAAAAACATAGCTCATGGATTTAATAGAAACTATTTGCTTAATTAGAGGCAATATTTAGGAACACATTAGTAAGTGGCATCCAGAGGTATAAAACCATTTATGAGCAATTCCATAGCAATACACGGCCCAACCATCACTTCATGCTAGGAGAAAACCTGTCATGAGTCCCCAAGCTGGATGCTTTTCCCACTCACATCCTTCCCCCACCTCCAGGGCGCATTAGCCAGGAGGTGGGTAATTCCTGGTCCTGAAGACGGACCAGGGGAGTCCATGGGCTGGCATCGGGAAAGGAGGGCCAGTCACGTGCCAGTGGACAGGCTAGCCTTTCAGATTCCAACTGACAGCCAAAAAAAAAACCGAGGAAGAGGGAAAAAACCATGGAGAACCCCAACTAACAGTTATAACTAGTCAAAAACATAGCTCATGGATTTAATAGAAACTATTTGCTTAATTAGAGGCAATATTTAGGAACACATTAGTAAGTGGCATCCAGAGGTATAAAACCATTTATGAGCAATTCCATAGCAATACACGGCCCAACCATCACTTCATGCTAGGAGAAAACCTGTCATGAGTCCCCAAGCTGGATGCTTTTCCCACTCACATCCTTCCCCCACCTCCAGGGCGCATTAGCCAGGAGGTGGGTAATTCCTGGTCCTGAAGACGGACCAGGGGAGTCCATGGGCTGGCATCGGGAAAGGAGGGCCAGTCACGTGCCAGTGGACAGGCTAGCCTTTCAGATTCCAACTGACAGCCAATCCCACTGTGTTTCCACTCATCTTTTTTTTTTCCATCAACACATCACTGTTTCCATCTTTCACCATGGTTAGACTGCAAACAGTTATTTCAGACATGACTCGACACCAAAATAACTTAGCTTGTGCTTGGGTACTAGGCCTACAGATGCTTTTCTTTTCATCTCATTTTTTCCGGTACTTTCCAGATTAAAGATTATGTGCTGCTTTTGAGACCAAAAAAAGGGAAGGTTATTTACAGGAGAATACTGACGCTGGCCCCTCGGCCGCTACGGGAGTCGTTAACAGGAAGTCTACCGCGTTCCTCTCCTCAACCTACAATTCCAGCGCCAACGGCTCTCCTCTCCCCCAGTGGGCCTGGCCTGAACGTCCTTCCCTCGTCCCTGAAGGGCTGAAAAGCCTGCGTCTGTGGAGCCCTCCCCAGATCACTCCGACCTCCTCTCAGCACCCCTGCACCCCGTTCCCTGTCAGGGCGCCCGACATGCAGTGTCACACTCACTCACTGAAGACGTAAATCTTCAGCACAGCGCTGGGCTCAGCTGCGGCAAGGACAGGAGGGATGAGTACAGAGAAGGGGACAAGGTTCTCACCCAAGTCTCCAATCCATCCACTAACACACCATCCTAATATCCTTACAAAGGAAGGGGGAAAAGATGGAGGTTCTCTGCCGAAGACGCCGGCTCCAGCGTTGATCCCACAGGCTTCCCGGGGGCAGAGCAGAGCTCACTCCTGTGGCCCCATCTCCACAGTCTGGGGACTCCTTACACTAAGCCACCCCAAGTCACCTTAAAAATAATATGCCTCTTAAGGCATATGGGCCAACACGACTTAGACATGCTGTGCTCAGACCAAGGGCTGAGGTCGGCATCATCAGCCCTGGCAAATGACAAGGGGCCCAATGTACTGGTCCCAGAGATGACTGTGTCAAGCAGGGCTCTAGACGTACACACGAGACTTAAGGCCAACACCCCCCTTAGTTCAGGGACATGAGGATGCTGGTGAGGCAGGTACAGTCCATCCTCACGCCAACCCCACCTGCCTTTGAGAATCAGCACGTGTGCCCCAACATGAAACTGCTGAGAGCACCCTGCTTCCCCAGGGACCCGGGGGCTGCAAGCTCTTGAGCTGTTATGCAGAGACTAGTGGGGAAACTGGCTAGACATACATGCAAGGACAGAAGTGGGGACTGGAAAGAAGCCGAGTCTGTGTATCAGGAGAGCAGAGGTGCCCGTCAAAGAGCCTAACCGCCCTGCCAGACGAGCCTCAGACAGGGGCAGTCACTGGAAACAGGTCTTTTGTCAGGCACTGCTCCAGACAAGAGCTGCCAGTCCAGGGGCACATCCCCCCACCCTCAGGCCCCAGCCTCTGGCAGCCTTTCCTGACAAACCTCAGGACTCGGGCCCTGAACCTTATCTGCACTTCCCACACCTCCTGCGTCAACAAACCTGGGAAGAGAATTTCACAAACATCTTCACAATGAGTTCCAGCTAAGAGTTGTTGGGTCTGATCCAAGCAAACGAAAGAACTGGCTTTTGCCATAAGCCAGAGTAAAAGGTAAGGGAGGAAAGGGTTTGCACGAAATGCGACACGCTTTCTTAAGCTCCCCAGCCAAGCGTGCCATTCCCTGTAAGTTTGCGACAGTGTCTTTCAATCTGCCTAAAAAAACACCGCAGCATCTACTGATCACACAAGAGCATTTTGATCTCGACAGCTCCAGGGAAAAGGTGACAAAGCTTCACGATGCCATGGGATCGCTACAGTGCAGAGGCCACCTTCAGCAAACACCCAGGGACGGCCCTGCCCAGGAAGAAAGGTGGGGAAACGTCCTGCCCAGGAAGAAAGGTCTCAGGCAGCCCGGACAATTCTTGAGGAAGTGTAAGGTGAGCAGTGGTGAGTAACACTGAAAAGGGAAGACCTGAATCCTGAGACACAGGGGCCACGGCTGACCAGCTCACTGACCAGAAAGGAAAAGAAGAGAAGCATCAGTGGGGTGTAATCAGATGAGTTAAGAAACTTGGATTCCAGCCCCAGCCCTGCCAAAATCTAGACCTGAGAACTTTGATAAGTGGGCCTCAGCTTAAAAAAAAGAGAATGAACCGAACACCTAAGTTCCTGTTGAGTCTTCAGACGATACGACCCCAGGAAAAGGGACAACAGCAAAAGCTGCTGCTGAGATCAGAAGTAGCTATGGAGGTAAACCCAGCCCAGGGCCAAGGCGCTCACAGGCAACAGACACACCAGGGACGAGACAGCTCTGCTATCTTGAGGGTTGAAAACCTAATCGTCACTTATTGGCCATTGGCTACCAAGGCCACGAGGACGCCTATGGGAGTCACGGCCACCATTACAACTCAACAGTGAGAGGGCCAGGTCCACCTCTGTCGCGATGGACACGCACCCCAGCAACTTCCAGCACCAACACAACAGCTCACCACACCGAGCTTACGTCCCCAGGAAAAGCTACCCTTACACTCCATGTGCAATGCTTCACAAGGTGGGGATCTGCCAGGTACTGAGAAGAGTTCCACTTAAAGAGAAGAAATGGTGTTTGGCATGTCAGTGTATCTGAGTCAAATATTTGTTTGCCTAGAAATACCGGTTTAGAGAAGCCTATTCTCTGTGGCCCATGTGGAGATCTCACTGCATTCAGGCGACCGACACAGAGTCGGTGTGGGACGTGAGAGTGAAATGAGGTCTAGGAGGCAGGGGTTCTGGGCTTTTTGAGTCTATATTAAACAGTTTTAGAAAGTTGAAGGGCAACGGGGAAGAAAGAAGACAGGAAAAACTGGGAGAGTGCATCACATGACGGGTAAAGGAGGCTGGAAAAGGGAATCACGGTTTTGCCTCTTGTTGCTAAGGAGCCTCCGAGGACATGATCCCAGCACGGGGGGCATCTAAATGAGAGGACAGGAGGGTGTGCAGCAGCCCGGAGAGCGCTCTTCTGCCCAGGTGCTGGCCTTCCAGTTCTGTGGACTCTCCATTTCTCCTGTGGGATCCTTTCTGCCCTCGACCCCTAAATAGTGTTCAGAGTTCTGTCCAAGGCCCTCTGCCCTCCCCCACTCCTCAGGCTCCTCTGGCCACAGCCAAGGCGCCGCCCTCACCTTTGAGTCGTAGGCCGACTGCTTGATGACTTCTGGCGCCATCCAGAAAGGGGTGCCCACGAAGGTGTTTCTCTTTATCTGGGTGTCTGTCAGCTGGCCCGCCACTCCAAAATCCGCCAGCTTCACCTCTCCATGTTCAGAGAGCAGGACGTTGGCAGCTGTAAAATAGAACCAAAGACGTCTCCTGCCGTCATCTGCTGGAGAGTTCCGCCCGCTACCATTTGGGAAGAGGCACACGTGTGCCCCTGCACCATCACGCGCTCGACAAGAACAGGGACCAGGGCTGTGCTTCTGGTGAGACCCCCTCATGGCCCGGCCCACCTACCCAGGCATGTCGAAGGCATACCCACAGGGCAACTTCCCTTGAGAAGAGAAGCACAGTTAAAACTCTACAGCTAACACTCCTTCCTCGCCTTGGGTATTTCAAAGAAATATAAACAAGATGTTTTCTCACCTTTAATATCTCTATGAATTTTCTTCTCCGAATGCAAATAATCAAGTCCTTTCAGTATTTCTCTTAATATAGTAGCAATCTGGGTTTCATCTAAAGGGCCAGGTTCTAACTAACAAGAAAAAAAATGATTAAAGTTACTTAAATGATTAGATGAAAAAGTGTGAGATGATAGAACAGAGTCAATGTTAAATGGACGAGAATAATCAAACCTGAAATCTTCTGCACTCCAAAACAGAATTAAAACCTAATTACACGGCCCTTTAAAAAAAAACCCACAAAGAACCGGGGAAAATGACTTTGCTGAATGAAGCAAAGCTGGCTGAGAATCGAAGTCAGGCCAATGAGAAAGGCCGTGGTCAGCCTGCCATGCCTGCCGGCTGAGCTGGGAGGGATGACAGTCCAGAAAGCGAAAGCCCAGCACCTCGCAGTGCTTGCCAGGGAGGGGACAGAGCAGCCTGGCTCTGTCCTAACAGAGGTAACGGTTATCGAAACACAAGTAGTCAAAAAGAGAAGGCCTGGGAGCTGACTGCTTTCTGAGGCTACCCCTGCACCAGAAGTTTTTAAATCTGAATTTTAAAACTTGGGGGAAGAGAGCGGAAAAGAGCTCAATCCCTCATGATTGAATTTTTTTTGTGATATAATATATATACACACGTATGTTACGTAATAAAAACATTAGTTAGTATATTACCCCAAATGACATAATAATCGCCTGAGGATAAATTTTTCAAGGAAACACGAAGGAATTGACACTGACTCCTCACTGTTGTTAGTTATACAAAGATGTAAGGCAGACAAGTCAGGTACACACAACCCCCCTAAAAGAAAGAAACTCAGACAAGTTCTAGAGCTCAGTTCAAACTGGACAGTAAGCCTACCATCACCTGTACAGCAGGGAACTCAACCACAACCAATCGCATAACTACCTCAGCAAAACCACCTAACACTCCACCCGAAGAACTAACAGTGGAAGCATCAGAGACAGGGGCAGAATTCTAACAATTTAATTTTTCATCTGAATGATGATGTTCGGTATTACGTTTTCAGACTTGACAGTGAATTCCACCATAACCCAAATTCACACATGCAAGTCAACGGGACGACACAATTCCACAATGCTCACCGAGTAGGTTCAAAAGAGATAGATTTGCTTTAAACCAAAGGGAATGGAAACCAAGACACGCCTTCTGAGGTAGCGTTCCGACGGACACGTATATTTTCTCGGACAGACAAGTCCTGCTGTCTCAGGGCCTTCAGTGGGATGGTGGTGGTGGAACAGCTGATCGTTTCTGGACCCAGGTCGGGGCACAGAGAACCCCCTTCTCACTTCATAAGAGCGTGATTGCAGCTGCCCCGCTTTCTGGTCCATCCAGAGAGCTGGTCACAGGCCCAACCTGATCCATGAAAATCCACGAAGCCCGGGAGGAAGGGGGTGTTTCTTGAAGTCGGGGCTACCTCTCTGGGACTCTGGCCTGTCTGGCAGTGGGGCCCCCGTGCTCAAGCCACATTCTCACACTCAGAACCCGGGTGGAAGGGAGGCTCCTTGCTTTTCGTTTCACGGTGTGCTACAGACGCAGAGAAGTCACACTGACAGGTAACTAGTCCCCCAGGAAGTCCTCCAAGTCCTAACTAGGATCCCGCCCGCGACAGCCGCAGACCAGGGCGGCCCACTGCGCACTCTGTTCCACGGAACCTAATTCCTCCCCAAGTTGTCTGACCCAGAGTCTTGTTCTCAAGAAACACATCGAAACAACTGTTCCTAAGCACACAATCCGGAAACCCTGCCTTATCTGCCGGCTCCACATCTACTTCTGAGTTCACAGAGTGGGGGAATTTTAATACTCAAAATGAGGAAAATGCACTTTTCTCATAGCCTGGGGAAAAAGAGGAAGGAGGCAGAGACACTGGCGAATTTGCTCTCATGCCCCGGGGCATAAGAGCAGACCGCAGAAGGCTAACCCCACCGTTCAAAATGCTCTCCCAGAGCGGGGCTTCCATCCCCTCCTGCAGCAGGTTTTCACCCAGGCAGACAGCCAGGAATGTCTGGCTGGACTTGGACTTACCCACCTCCGCCCTCCTGTGATCAAGTGTCTGGAAAGAAACGGCGGTGCAGCCTGGAGTCATCACCAAGGAGAGAGAAGACTGAGGAACACGAACTGAAACATCTTCTGCTGGACCATTTAAGAGCTGGCTCTCCAACTGATACGTATATATGGTTATGCCCTTTTAAATCTGGCCTGAACACCACCCACCAATGATTCATAAGTGGGGGCAGGAAGAGAGAGACTCTATTTACAGAGCAGGGAGATCCTTCAATGTGTCAAAATCCACTGTAAAGGGTATTCAGTTGTTCCCTAGAGCACAGAGCTCCTGGCTGGTGGGTACTCACATGCTCCACCACTAACATTCCTAAGCAGTCTCTTCATTAAGAAGACTGTGGAATCTTCAAATAATCTCTATTAAAAAAAAGACTCAGAGGAAAAATAACATGTAGACTCCGCTCCTCCTCTAATTCCCCCTCCCAAACCTGTTTTCCCCTCTTCCTCTGTAATACTCTCGGCCTGCACGCGGCCACCCAACTAGAGACCGTACCTGCCGGCCTCTGCAGCAGCAAGTCTGGCCACATGACTGAGTTCTTGCCAAAGGAATACTTGCAGAAGTGCCCCTTCCTGGTCTGGGCTTTGAAACGCCGGCAGCCAGAGGAGACAAGGACTCAAGACCACAGGAAGCCACCCACCCCTGCAGGGCCCGGAGACCACTGAGCCCACGTGTGGGAGGGAAAGTTCCATCTCGTGTGAGACACTGTTAGGAGACCACCACAACAGCAGCTTGGCCTAAACATAAATGAATATGTCATCTCATTTTTTAAAATTCATGTGGCATATTCATTTTTAAGTTTGTCAAACATCTCTGCCTGACTGAGTGACCAATTTATGTAGCCTAGTTCCTTCTTAATTAAGATTCCACGGTTGCCCCTTAGATTCTCCTATAATACTGACTCATCCTTTAGTCAGTGAAAAATCTTTTGGTCTCAGGCCCTCTGTTGCTATCCTCATTCCCCTTCTCCCAATTCACCTCATGCTGCTTTATTTTCCTTGTAGCACTTTCCCACATGCGATATAATCAACTGTCTGCCCCTACTTGGAAGCTCAATTCCAGAATGAAGAGAAAGCCGAAAAAAATTAACTATCACACATGCTCACAAGGCAATCCTAGGTGAAGGAAGGCACCATCTTCCTGCCCAGGCTAAGGTGTTATTAAGACTCAATGCGGGGAATTAAACTAATGTCTCACAGCCTAAGTAAAAAGGCACGACAACTAAAATGCAGAGTGAAAAAAGCCACCAAGTCTATAGTATTTCATTATAGCAGCCCCAGTGCATGAAGAGAAAGGATGAATCTAGAGTGAGGAGAGAGCCGGCGAGATCTTCGTGCTCTGGGAAATGGCAGAGCCCTGCCCTTGAACAAGACACCGTCATCCTTCCCTCCGCATGCTTCATATACAGGGGCTGCTCCAAAGACATACAAATATATCAGCACCGTGCCTCTTAACAGAGATATTAAACAAAAGCAAGGTGGGGGCTTCCCTGGTGGCACAGTGGTTGAGAGTCTGCCTGCCGATGTAGGGGACACGGGTTCGTGCCCCGGTCCGGGAAGATCCCACATGCCGTGGAGCGGCTGGGCCCGTGAGCCATGGCCGCTGAGCCTGCGCGTCCGGAGCCTGTGCTCCGCAACGGGAGAGGCCACAATAGTGAGAGGCCTGCGAACCGCAAAACAAAAACAAAAGCAAGGTGGGATTTTTCTAAGAAATGCCCCAAATCCATATATTCAGGTACCTGGTAACAAACCTTCATATGCAACAATACTCTGGTTTTTAGAATCTTGTGTAAACATTTAATAGACACTCTCAAAATAATCTTAATAATCTTCAACATTCAAAAAACTCTTGTATCCCATTATTAAAGTGCATCTTCTTTGAGGACTGGGGTCAGGCCAACAGAAAAGGGATAAGAGATGAAGAAAGACACGACAAAGTCAGAGGGAGGGAAAGGAGCGCGCGGGGTCAGGGCTTTGCAGCTGGTTACAACAAGGTCCAATGTCCAGCTCTATCTGCTAGCTGGCACACCTAACTGCTGAGTACTTCCGTTGCTTCGAGTAAAATGAGACGATTTGGGGACATTCAAAAAGGGATGCCTGGTTCTTGTCACCAGAGCCCCTGATGTGGAAGATGGACGACAGTTTGCTGGGACTCGCACCATATGGGATTTTAGTTAATAAGTGGAGAATTCGACACTTCCTTCCAACTGTAATGTCTAAAATTTCACAGACTTCAAAGCTCCAAAGAAAGTTACCACTAAATAAATTATTGTGGCATTAAGAATGAATAAACTAAAGCATTTAGAGACTAGAATTGCTGTTCTGAAGGACTCAATGTTGGAAGAGTCCCCACAAATCATTTTATACATGCCACAAATGAAATTCACTTAAGATAATAGTAAATCTAATTATACAAAATGAGGCAATTTTCTACATTTCTGTAGTATTTCCCAAAGGAGTGAAAAAAAAATAATAAAAAATGAAAAGCTCTTTGTGCCATATGTATTTACAGAAAAGCAAAGAAAGTCATAAAATTTATCCAGCTGTTTTGCTACTTTCTCCATTTTAATATCATATTTATTTATACCATAAATTATTTAATATGGTTTATACCATATTAAATTTTTTCCCTGAACTTTCCCCTTTTGACCAATTGCTTTTACAGTTTATAACATTATGTGATTTTTTTCTTAAATTGGGTACATAAGCCTTTCAGAGATACACACATTTCTAGAGGTTTTACCTTCCCCCCAAAATACTAATTGTTACTATTACTGTGAGAAAGTAAACTCCTTTTAACCAAAGCGTATTTCTTTTCTTAGTGAATAAAAATCTGTGTAAACTGTAACCACCAAAAAACACTAGCTTCCTTCAGCTGTGAGACCAGTGAAAACTGCAGACCTACCACCCTGACAACCGTCTAGCAAGCAGAACCCACGCTCTAACACTAAAATGATAGATCAGGCCTGACTTGGAAATCAGCACTCACCCAAAAGCCCAGCATTTACAGGACGGGCAGGGTAAGAGTGCTGATCCGTTGATTTCACCGCATAACCACAGGGGGATGAAATGTCAGGGGCTAAACAACTGTGTGAGATTTTTTAAAATTTGTTTCGCATATATTGTGTTTCAAGGACGACTTAAGTAATGCTCATGATTTACTCGATATTTCTGAGCATCTCATCAGAGGCCAACATGTAACCATGTTTTACCACAAGAGGGGAGTTACAGACTGTGACTTTGAGGTCATCCTACACTGGAGCTGCCTCTACCATGTGTGTGGGCTGGACACCTAGGTTCAGACCAGGTAGGAGACACCACCACTGGCAGGGGTCCAGCTCCACCACAGCCACACTGTGAGCGCAGCAAGGCCTCTCTGCATGTGCATCCAGTAAACAGAAACATGCGTTCCTGCTTGGCCCAACGGCTGCTCCCATTTGTGATACTGTGCCCGTCTCTTACCTCTGAAATCAAATTTTTATTTTTAAAAATTCTAGTTCTGATTAATCATAAATGAAAATGTTCCACACATATTTTAGAAGCGAAGTTACCATCTGAAACATGAAACAATGATGGGGTGCCAGCTCCACAAAAGTTAAAACCAGTTTTAGAAAATAAGAAACTGTTGTTATTAAGTCAGACACAGCAGGCAACATCCTTCATGGCTGCTTGGAATGAATTCACTGGTTTCCCATGAAATAGCAAAACTGTCCTCAAAAGCAGATCTATATGCAGACGTAAGCTGGGACGAAGTGAGAGAGTGGCATGGACATATACACACTACCAAATGTAAAATAGATAGCTAGTGGGAAGCAGCCACATAGCACAGGGAGATCAGCTCGTGCTTTGTGACCGCCTGGAGGGGTGGGATAGGGACGGTGGGAGGGAGATGCAAGAGGGAGGAGATATGTGTATATGTATAGCTGATTCACTTTGTTATACAGCAGAAACTAACACACCACTGTAAAGCAATTATACTCCAATAAAGATGTTAGAAAAAAAAAGATCTATAATTTACAGTAACGTATCAGAAGCAGAAATCCCTATTATAAGGTATAGTTTGGTCCTTTCTTCATGCAACTTAAAAGGGAAACCGAAATGTAAACAGAATTATCTTTACAAGCAAGACTGACTGAGACATCCAACATGATACTTACTAGGTCCAGTGCGGAGCCTCCACCAAGATATTCCATTATTATCCATAATTTAGTGTCCTACAGAAAAAACAAAAAGAGAGGCAAATTATTTTTTTAATAAAAGCAGAAAAGATTGTTTTAAATAATCTAAGGGTATTTTGCTCTGTCATTTTGGAACTAGAAAACTTTATAAATACACAACAGCGAGAAAAGTGCGTCCGAGTGAGAACTGGGTGGGAAGCCTGCACTGTGCTGGAGGGGCTCCGCACCAGACCCCCCCGGCAGTGCGCTCCACAGCTACTGCACCAGGGCTCCGAGGGGCGCGCCTGTTTTCACACAACTTCAGTGGGTGATCCTCTGGCACAGAAGGGTTTGGGAACCAGTCCCCAAGGCCAGTACCATGCACTCCCATCCCGCCCTGAGCATCAGACAGGAGGCGACTGGAGTACAGCCCTGGGGACAGGCCACTTCCCCCCACCCCACCCCCGCCTGCAGCTCTGAGATGCGCAGAGGGCAGGTGGCATGGCTGGTGCGGCCTGTCACCCACTGTCTTGCTCCGGAGCTGGGCGGCCACCCTGAAGGCTGCCACCCCCCCCCGGCCCCCCCGCTCCGGGATATCCAGGAGAGCAGAGGGGCCTGAGCCTTGCCCCCGTCCTCCAGCCCCCTCACCATTCTCCGTGTCTTGCGGCTCTTCCGTCAGTCTCTCCTGAAGCCCCGCAGCACCCATGGCTTCCAGGGTTCTTTTCAAACACAAATCCCAAAGTGCTACTCCCTTGAAAGCCAACAAGCTAGCAAACACCCACGCAGCCCTCCCGGGGGATGAGGGCACACCGGTGCGGGGTCAGGAGCACAGGGCCTGGGGCTGAGCCAGACCCCGGCTCACAGCCTGCAGACCTGGCAATTACTTGCTCTGAAGCCTCTGAATGGGCGCCTGGCTGAGTGAGTGCCCGCGCCACAGCAGGCAAGCTTGAAGGCTGGGGGGCGCGGTGACCTGCCACGGCCTGCGGTGCCCGGTCCACAGCCTCGGAGCAGCGCCAGGCTGCTTCCCTGCTAACGCGGCACTCTCCGGTTGCTTTCAAGTGCATCAAAAAGAAGAAAAGCAAACAAAACCCTTCCTAGGCCCTTTGGTACCTTCAGGATGGAGCTGAGCCCCAGCTCTTCAGAGCAAGCAGGGCCCTCGCCAGGCCCCATCCTCGCTGCTCCCTGGCTCTATCGATGCTGAAAGATTTGCTCTTCTGGACTGAGTCGCAGTTTCCTCAATCAGGAAAACCCTCACCAGCTCCCCTCCCCTCCCCCGACTTCAGCAACTTTGGTCTGATCTTCACTTAGATTTGCTTGTCTGTGTTTCCCACCAACAGCAAGCTAAGTGGCTGGGGGCAGCGCCTGGCACGCTCAAGCCCAGGAAAGGCGGCCTGTGGCACCTGTAGCGGAGAAAGGGCATGCTGACTGCATGTTCACTTCAGGGAGGCCACTCATGCCTGCACTACACTTGTAAAGTAAGTTTCTTTTAAAATTTAAAATTAAAAAATTAATTAATTAATTAAATTTTTAAAGAATTTTAAAAGAAAATTAAAAAAAAATTTAAAATAAATCCTGACATCTGGACTCAAGTCTGTGATATTATAAAGAAACAGCCCAAGTTTTACTGTATGTGGAACACCTTCTCAAGTCTTTAAAAGCCCTTGACTCCTGATATGATGAAAACAATTCCAGTCTAGACTGGAAAAGGCACGGAAACCTTACCTGATGTGTTTGGGGTCTACCTGATAGACACAAACATTTACTCAGTATTCATCCAGTCACGGGCACCAGCCTTGAGCAGGCTCCATCACCCCCTGCTTCTGATTTCAAGAGAACTTCCCAGCAAAGAGAGCATTCTCCAGCCCTCCTTTATTTCACAGATACGCCCAAGTCTTCCCCACGCCAGAACTTCCCGAACACCCGCTCCTGGAAAAGGTCCGTGCTACTCCCTCTAGACACCCCAAAAGCACCTTGTTGGAGAGCGAGGAAGCAACTACTGCGGGGAACGGCCGACACCATTTTTGACAGCACAGTCAAGCTAAATGGTTTTTCTATAAGGAACTTGGGAGTTTACGTTTCTACTCTCATTCTCTTTTCTACGGCACCGTCTGGCCCAGCTCCCATCCCTTTTACTTTGTGGGTGTTGAGGGTGAGTTCCCTACAACGAGATCAGCTCTGGCAGGCAGGCTCCCCCACCCCACATCTGCATCTGTGGGGAGCTGGGGCAGAGGAACAGGACACCCTGGGAAACAGTCTGTGCTGACTCGGATGGTTCAGGGTCACCTCGCAGCTTCCGGAAGCAGCGAGACAGGCAACCACGCCTCATCCTCCGTTCCAAAGCTCCAGCTACCCACTACCTACCAAGGGAGCAAAACAACCCTTTGCACGGCTCGCTCTCCTTTCAGGGAGTCATGACAGGGGACAAAGTGACCTGTTCTCCCGTAACCCTCAGGGGCGCTTCAGCAACAGCGGAACACCTGGCAAACCAGGTGCCCCCAGCTGAAAGGCTTTATAAAGCCCGAGACTTCACTGTACCTTCCTGGAGAGGAAGATGCAGTAAAAAAGACCAGCCCCGCTTCTCTGTTCATCCAGCTCGTTCCTGGTACCAGACAGGCCAGGGCCTGAACGCTACCCAACACGAGGTCCGCCAGATCTGGGGGGCACTCAGGAAAACAGCACTAGGTCCTTCATTCAGGCCACTGCTTTTTAAATACTTGGTCAGGTCCTAGGACCCAGGTGCTTTTCTCCCCAGTTCCACCAGTCTGGGAATGGAAACTGCGTCAAGAAAGGTTCCACTGGTCCCACCTCTCAGCTGAACCTGCCTTCCCACCCCACGGGGTGTGCCGCTCACCTCGGCCGCCGAGCCAGCAAGAGAGTGGGGGAAAGCCCTGGGGACGAGGGGTCAGCGACCTCACCGGCTCTGTGCTCCCCGCAGCCGGTCCCCGTGGGGAGCCCGTCTCTAAGGCGGAGGCCAGACCTCCAACGACTGGTGAGTCAGAGCTCCCAGGAGTGGGCCCCAAGCGAGGGGACAGCAGGACCTGCCGGGTCACAGAGGCGGAACCAGCTGCCTTTTAAGGTGAACCGAAGGATGAGTTGGCACTGGGGCGGGTGTGGAGGGAGGCAACGAGGGGGTCAAGTGCGGCCAGCCAGCAGGTAGGGCAGGAGTGAAGCAGCAAGAACCTAACGTGGAGGGCGAGGGGCGGGCCAGAGAACCGTCCACCCTGTGGCCTGTTGATAAACACGTCACACTTCCTCCCAAAAGTCACCGGAGGGCACCAGGGCCGGCTCTCGCTCTTACTCAGCCCTCGAGGTGTGCAGGGAAGAGGCCAGGAGCCGCGAACAAACGGCGCCTGCGCGGCGGGGAGAGGGGCTGGGCTGGGGGGCGGGGCAAGGCTGGAAGGCGGGGCACAGGCGGCCTCGCTCAAATGGACACGGGCAATGAATGCCCTCCACCGACAGGGGGTCCTGGGGGAGGCGGCAGAGGACCGGCTGACAAAGGTATCCACAGGTCCTTCACGCAGCGAGGGTCACTCTCCCTTCTCTAATGCAAAACCATCGCTGGTTTTAAAACAGCTGACAGCTTCTACCAAATTCCAGTACGAATTCCCAACTCTGTGGCTTGGCGGACCAGCCCTTGGCAAGCACCGGCCCACCTGCCTGCTCCTCTCACCTCCAGCTTCTCTCTGCGCCCAGCTCCAAGGCCCGCAGGCTTCTGCACAGCTGCTCCCGCTGCCAGGTGTGCCGCCCGCCGGCCTCTGAGGACAGCATGCGGGGTGACCCTCTCCCTCCTCCGTGCTCCAGGCCCATGCTCTGTCCTCACTGTCCCTGCCTCAGGGGAGGCAGCCCGGCTCACCCTCCGCCCAAGACTGGCCCCACCAGCAGTGCCCTCCATTCACCGCAACCTCCCATTCCCACGGGTGACCCCACTACTCCCTTGCTCAGCCCCCCGCATTCTCCTACTCCACGGCTGCATTGCGCTGGACTCAAGCCTTCCCCTTCTCTAGGCTGACTCTCCCACGGTCCCAATGAGTCCAAGGCTATTGGGTCTGCTTGGCTCCACCCTGTCCTGGCTAGAATTCTCCAACTCTAACCCTCAGCGGCCGGTTCCTCTTTCTGACCGAAAGGGAAGGGTACTGAGAACAAGCTCTGCCTGCCTCACACGCTGACTGGGACAGAGATGCTGCAGACGTCATGAAAACCAGGGGCAGAGCGGAGGCCGGGTCTCAGGATGAGTGGAGCCCTGCGGTGCACACAGGACCTGCGCCGCGTCAGCTGGCCCCCGCGCAGCACCTCCAGTGCAGGACGCTCATTCAACACAGGCAGAAGAGGCCTTTTAAATCTGCCACCAGTCACCATCCCAAGTAATAATTTCTACCACCCACCCCCAAAGAAGAAACATTCAGAAGGGAGTAAATGGACCAGCTCAGGAAAGTAAAGATGGGCTCTGAGGGCTGCAGGCCAAGCGCTCCCCGCAGCTCCGTCAGGGTTTCTCCTCTGCGGCACCACCGGCACTTGAGGATGGATAACCTCTGTTGCAGGGCTGCCCTGTGCATTGTAGGGCGCTGGGCAGCATCCCTGGCCTCCGCCCACTAGAGGCCAGTAGCACATCCCCAGTCCTCAGGGCCAGACACCAGCCGTGGCCTCTGGGGGCCAAAGTCGCCCCCGCTGAAAACCACTGAACTGCCCAGTCAATGTCCCTAAGCCTGAAGTGCTACTACACAGAAGTGCTGACCGGTTAATTCTCTCCTCCCCTTGGCAAAGCCAGTTGTTATACCCTGCAGCCTCCAGCTAGGAGACCATCACTAACTCACTGAGAGACACCTAAGCTTGGAGTGCCTCAGCCAGAAAAAAATGGCAATAATCTGTATCTCTAACTTCACGGTTCACCTGACAAGAAAATGAGCTAATGAATGTGAAAGCACTTTGCGAAGCTCGGGGTACTAAACACAGGCAGAGTGCTACTAGCCCCCTCAACAGCATCACCCGTAAGTGCCTCGAAATAACCCAGTAAAACCGAAAAGGCCCAATTAACAAGACTAAACGGTATTTCTCTGCAT